CATTGGAAAATATTTTTCTTTTCTATAAACCCACACTCAAATGGATAATCTTCACTTCAGCAAGAAGATAAAACCACCCACTGTGTGTTTATTGATTAGAAACAAAAGAGACATTGTATTTGAAGAAGACATAAGTTGTCTCAGACTAAATCACAATCAAAATTGTGAAAAGTTGTCGGATAGTGAGAATTTACAGGAATTTATCCATGTACATAACTGTTACTACTGTCATGACTAATTAAGCCTTTTCAGCTTGGCATTAGTAGTAAAACCTTGACCCATTTATTTTTTCCACAAACACATTGTAACTGAAGGATCTGCTCGTAAAATAATTTTATTTTTTAAGAATCTCATTTATTTTATAAAGTTTTAATACATTTTTTTATACTTGTATTTTGTCAAGAAATTATTTAATCTCTGGAATTATACAGTTAACTACAGTATTCTTACATTCAGTGTGTGAATTGAATGATGTGTTCAGTGCTTTTCCTTGTTCTTGCCCAACATAGCCAGGTGGTTAGGGCATTCGACTCACAATCTGAGGGTCGCGGGTTTGATTCCCCTTCACACCAAACATGTTCGCCCTTTCAACCGTGGGGACATTATAATGTGATTGTCAATCCCACTATTCGTTGGTAAAAGAGTAGCCCAAGAGTTGGCGGTGGATGGTGATGACTAGCTGCCTTCCCTCTAGTCTTACACTGCTGAATTAGGGACAGCTAGTGCAGATAGCCCTCTTGTAGCTTTGTGTGAAATTCAAAACAAACACCCTTGTTCTTTTTATATAATACAGTTATTCAAAAGCTTTGTTTTTGTTTGTGTACATTTCTTTAACACCCAGTATGTGAGTCAAGAAGAAAATACTTTGGGTTGAGCTGGCATCTTTTTCTGGTATTTATTATATTATGATTCTGAAGGCACCTACTGATTCTTTGATATATCCAGGATTGAAAGAATCTCAGTAGTTGAGGTGCTATGGCTACAGAATCCTCTCCCCTCTCTCTCTCTATCTCTTTCTCTCTCACACACACACACAACTTGACAAAAAAAACACTGAAGTTGCTGCACCTGTGCTGAAAAAGTATTGTCTTTCTGCCTAAAGAAGCTTTTTCTCTGTGGCTTTTCAAGCAAAATGGCTGAGGAAACAACTTCATCAAAGCTTATGTGTAGCTGCAAGATGTCTAAGTTTAGTACATACTTGAAATGTAGTTGATGTGGATATTATAATGGTGGTATTTCTATTGAGAGGAAACTAAGGTACAAGAGAGTACGTCCTACAGAACATGAGATTCATCATCAAAGAAAAGATTCAGCAAAATGTGAGTAAACAACTGCACCAGTAAAATGTCTTCAGGAAAGAAATAATTGGGATAGAATGTTATGAGACGAATAAAATGGACAAATGGTGCATAATTCACCATGAACAGAATCTGTTGTTGATTCAATTACTTGATGTACTGTGGCTAGGATTCTTGAAGGACTTTGCTCAAGCACTGTCTAAAGCAATCAGAGTTAGCTCATTCATTCCTGAAGTATGGACTCATGACAGCCACAATGCTTCTTATAGTATGGATCTCTGTACCATTCATGACACATCTTATGCTATAGGAGATTCCAGGTAAAAGGACAGACATGTGGAGGTCCATTGCAAAGGTTGTCTACTAGTTTTCTTTTTGTTTTTTATGAACTGAAGAAATCTTTTTATGGCAAGGGGAATGTATATCATTTAATGTCCATTGTGGATGACATTACTCACAAAGCAAAGCTCTTTAGAGCATATAAAATGAAAATGACAAATCAGTTATCACAACAATTACCTGTTGCAGTCTCTCAGAAGCTCTTCGTTGATAACATTTCAAACGAGGACAACAAAAGATGCAGTTTGCAGTTACATCTATGATTGAGGCAGCTTTGTTCTGCATAAAACATGATCTTCCAGATTTCATGTGTATCATGTTACAAAATGATAATGCTTCTAGTTACCGGAACATATCGGTCTCTCTTCTCCTCCCAGCTCTTGCCTATGCCAATGGAATTGAGATTGTCAAGTTTGCCAGTACCAAAACCCAGGGTGAAAAATCAGCACTAGATGCTCACTTTGCTAAGGTAATGTATGCCATTAAGTCATGGCTGATTGAGAGAAACAATTGCTTAACTCCAACATAGGCCATTAATGCATTGGCCTCCCTTGGTAGTTGCCCAATATTGTGTTTCTGAACTTGTTGAGCACAACTGAAGCCAACTAGACCAATCTGCTAAGAGAAGTGGCAGGTCTCAAAACACAACTGAAGAATCTTTTGAAGCAAAGTAATGATATTCACCTTACTGGATGAAGACTTACCTGATTTCTCAATTTGTGCTTTTATTTACTCTGGAATTGGAGATAGAGTGTTTGTGAATATTTGTACCCATGTATTATAGTGTGACTTGAAGGAAGGTACTTCACAGGTCCAAAAGGATGAAGAAATGGACAGCTTTGTAAAAGAGAATGCAATTTCAGATATCAAGGACAATGATTCTGAACTAGAAGATGAGAATTCCAGTTGTAAAGAAGGAGGAAGTGGATATTGAACAAGGATTCGTAAATTCACAGTCATTGTTGAGTATAGTGGAGAATACTCTCACACAACAAGTAAAAAAATCCTCATATTATGTTTGTTTAATAGTACGAGTGAATAATATGACATTTTTAAAACAAATATATCTCTTATGTCTATTTCTACTTTTTATGTTTGAAATCTATATTAGTATCACTTTATTGTTGCCTTTGAGTATAGTTACAATTACTACTAAGACCTTAATAAGAAGAAAGCAATATAAATGGCAGGCAGAGCCTAAATTATCAGTTGATCAGGAGGATGGAGAGACTAAGTCTCAAGCAAGATGTTGTGTTATGCCCTTAGGAGAACACTTTTATTGGAGGAATCTGAGGAACTTGGAATTGCTGAGGCTGCGAATGGATAACATAATGTTTATGTTCCTGATGATAAATACAGCAGCAGTTTCATTTCCAACTTGGTGGGCAATGAGGTTTTGTTAAGGTAAAATGTATATTTGGACAGGATATCAAAGATCTGTTAAAGCATGGCCAGTATAATTTGTCACAAAAAAGATGAAAGTCAACTGCAAGCATATCTTGTGATAAAGTATCCAGGTAGATATGATTTACCATTTGAGAATGAGATTTGTGCAGAGGTTATGCAGTTCAAAAATATCTACTGCCATCAGGAACTTTTCCAGAACTTACTAATTCACCTCATCTCACCAAACCTTTCTCGCAGGAACTGCTTCAGTCAAGCTTACTGAAACACATCATTAAAGGAAAGATTTAAGGATAGGCACAAAGATGAAGGCATTCCCTCTGACCAGCAGATCAGGTCCATGATAAACCAGCTAAAGCATATTTACAAAAGTATTGGAGATAGTTTCCATCTTTTCAATTGTGCTTCAGGAAGTTGAAATATAATGATATAACAAATGAGATGTTAATGGTTGGAGACAGCTTGAATGGGTGATGATGTCAAAACCTTGTCGAAACATTGTACATTTGCTGTTATGTTAAACTTATATTAAAGTTTTTCGTCATTACCCATTCAAGCCCTCTCCAACCATTATTAGTCTCAAAGTGGGTTCCTCGTCATAGAAAATGAGCTGTTGTTTGCATCAAAAGCTGTGGCACCAGTATATGCATCAACTCTGGAACAAATGAAAATAATCTACATCAGTGTGTGAACCATGATTAGTCTTATTTAGCATGACAACTATATATAATCTCATTGTTGGCCAATGTTCTGATGCTTGGTTAATGTTGTTCTCATCATCACAGATTTAGGAAAGCACTACTTTAGGTGAAGCTTAAATAGGTCCACACATCATAAGTATTTGCAGACAAGGACTGCTACATACTTATTTATTTATTTAAGACAAAATGTGAAGATAAGAAAAAAGAAACAGTAAACAGCACGTTTTGTATCAGCCATTTGTTAGTTACTATGGAAATATGAACCAGCAATCTCAAACCTCATCTCACAAAGAATAAGTGATCAGCACATGACTCGACAGTAAGATACATGATGATGAAAGCGAAGAACAGCTTGAATAGCAGATCAGGAGGAAGAGCAACATCATAGGGAGAAGATGGGCTAAAGATCACAACAATATGTAGTAGGAGGAGTGTGCATGAGAAGAGTAGTGCCTCTTTATTTTTTAGTTAAAGAAGAGCTATAGGGATGAGATTCATAATGATGAGAGTGAGAAGCACCATCCCAGCAACATTAACTAAAGGACACAATGAGAAGGATGGTTGTATTAGAGTGTAGTAGCCTGCTGCTCTCCTCTTCTTCTGTCTCTTGGTTATTAGAGGAAGCTAGAATTCCACAGGGTAAATACTCCCCATGTAATCATCTAATCACATATTGTTTCTTTGATTATTACCCAGTTAGGATTATGATATAGGTTGACATTATTTCTTGGCAAGTAATATCTGTTTAAACTGGTACGGTGATGCACCTTGGAGACTTAGGTTCTATGAAAGTATGTGTGACTATTTGGAAAATTATGGCTTTTTGAGTTTACCATATCAAAGACTTTTTCAGGGTGCATTCACTTTTTCTGTACTTATAATATCAGATATATTTTGACACCTTTGAAAATTCATGATATCCCTCTAATTGGCTCACATACTGGTAGTGTAGAATTATAAAGAAATATATATTTTTTTAATTGTATTACATACCAGATGTATATTTGTTAGATTAGTACTATTATTTATAACATATAAAGGAAAGTTTGTTTTACACATCGTTGGTAGTTCAAATCAAATACACAAGTTTAGTGATACATAACATATGCATTAAAATAAAATAAAAAAGTGGATGTAATTATTATTATATATATTTCTTGTAGTTATTTTTGTATTTATTCTCTTGAATTCTTTTAGGGCCTGTAGAACATTGAAGAAGGAATTGTATAATAAATTACTTCTTTTTTCTACATGTCAGTGTCATAATGCTGATACATAAATGCTTTTGACCACATCATGCCTCAAGAACTCCTAGCAGTGCTTGTATTTCTGGAAATCTCCCTATTCTGTGCATTTGGAAAACCTTTACAGTTTGGTTAGTACATTTTGAATATTTAAATCATTGTCAATCCATTCATATGACGTGTACCACATGTATTCTTAAGTTATTAATATAAATGTAACAGTCCAAAATTAAATATTATTATGTACACTTGTACCATGATATGTGTATGTCTCTGAGAAATTATTTTTGAAACATTATAGGTAAGATAGTACAATATTTTAGATCTCTAACTTTATAAGTTTGCACTATACATGTAAATGTCTGTTTTTATCACATTTCCTGTATACGTATATATTCTAAATCAAGTTTGGAATTTCTATAGCCTCCATTACTGTGACTGATACAACTCCACTGGACTTGAAGTTAATTCTCTCAGCAGTGGTAGCTGGAGCAGTATTGGTGGCATTTATTGGAATGCTGGTTGGCTGTGTGTGCTGTCCTCCTCATAGTTTAAAGGTTTGTGCATTATGTAATATACCATTGCAATGGTTTTTTATTGTTTGCTGGGTTCTTTTGGCTTATTCAATAAAAACAATAATAAAAGTCCAGTCCACTTAACAATTACATATACCTTCATTTCTTCAACTTAAAATTCCACAGCTAATATAACTTATTTTCACCTATTAATAGGCCTAAGTTTATATATCTATTTTTTTGTCAAAACACAAACTTGTTGTTTATGACACTGAACAAACTAACTCACTAACAATAAGAGACAAAGTGACTAAATCATGCACTGATTACTCATTAACTAACAAACTCACTAACTAACTGTAGTATAACTCTTTTATATATATACTTCAAATTATTTTTGAACTTTGTAGAAAGTTCCAATCTAGGCCATGCCCATCATGTTACATTGATCTCCCATCCAGCTGAACAAAAATAAAAATTTCTGTAAACATCTAGATTAAAGGTACAAGCTACAATAATACTGTCTTCACTGTGTATGTATAATGGCATTTAATTGGATTTTTTTTTTATCAACTGCATCTATGAAAAATTCTTATAGCTAAAAACACTTCATCTTTTCATATTAGGAAAATGCATTCTGTGGCCTGAAATAATAGCAAATTTTGTGTAACCAAATCAACAAAAGAAAACATTGCTGTTCTTCATGATAGTAACATCTTTATCATCAATGTTGCTTAAATGTATGTTAAAAAAAGCACCTAAAATAGTGAAAAAGAATCACTTTGAAAATAATAAGTTTGGTTTTTGTAATTGATCCTTTTGTTAACTGTAAAAATAAGCTGTGAAAAATATTTTTTTGTATTGAATGTTTCATGCATTTATGCTACTTATTTGTGTAATGATTATACTTTTATTACTGAAATGCTATTTTAAATCAAGATGCACTTTTAAATGTAACAGTTATTGTGTACATGTTTCTAACCAATTATTATAATTAGAAAAATTAATAGTAAATATATATATATATATATATATATACCTTAAATCAGAGCAGTTCTTAACAAGAGTATCCATAGTATGTGTAAATCTTTGTATATCATTAGTGTTTCTGTCTTTGTATGCTGCAGAACCCAGGAGTTTTCAATGTGCATGTCCTTTCTGTAAGTACATGTAAGTTATATAAACTAAGGATTTCTAAGTATTTTTTATCTAACTGAGAAGGTTTTTATTATTTTCAAACAGCATTTTGTATCTTCATAAACATGTACTATGGGAAATTTACTGCTACAAATTGAACACAGTTTAAACAGTGTGTTGAATACAGTTGTCACTTGCCTCTGATGCTAGACAGTAGGGGGTGGTTTAATGAGTTTTCTTTGATCAAAAGATAGGCTAGGAAGAATTGGAGATAAAAAAGGTAATTTACACTAAGGCTACATTCTCCAAACAAATTTCTTCTATGACAGTAGTTTAAGCTGACAACTCGTTTCTGTGTTCCATAAGTAAGTAGGCTATGTTATTTATTTATTTATTGTTATTTTCATTGACAGTATTGGTTGTACTACTTAGTATATCAAATGCTTTTTTATTTTTTGTTATAATTTTATTGTATAGATTGTTTTGCATTGTAAGCTTATTATATGTATTTAGGATTAACCTAAATCTCCTAAGCTGGCTGAACCTCATGAACTATTGCTGGGATTATGGCTGAAATTATTGTTAAAAGTGATGGTACCCAACTGATGAAATGATTAATTTTAATCTTTATAAGTAAAAATCTAAGAAGAATATAATTACTTAACTATAATAATTGCTAGGATAATTTTTAGTTTTACTTTAAGTACATAGCTTGCTTTGATGAAAAGTAAATATTAGTTTATTATTAAAAATATTCAACTTTTTTCATTGAAAATACTGTATTTTCCATGTTATAATTTCCATAAGTTTTCTACAAGAGCTTTCATGTTTGCATTCCTTACTTATCTTGGAGGTTACAGCATGGATTAGTGTATGAAAGTTTGAGAATAGCTTGACTAGTTGCAAAGCACATAATAAATTTTAATACATAAAAACTTTGAGATTAAACTTAGAAAAGAGGTAGTCAAATAACCAGTGGTGTTTTACTGTAATATGAACAACAGCCATACAGTTTTCTTAAACCATCAAGACTTAGTTTCAAGCACTGGCCATCATGAAAATTTACTATCCCACTTCACTTTTACAATTAATAATATGATACCATACCCCCATGACCTCAATCTGCCACAGTTGGCCATGTGATAGATTTTGATGTGTCAAGAGATCCATGTGCAGTTGGTAAATTGAATATCAACTAACAGCAAACATTACATGTTATTTTTAAAGTTATATAAAAGTTGAATTTGTCAAGTAATTATGAAACACGCCAATATTTTTAAGCAATACTAATGTTATATCTAACACCACTAGCCTATGAACATCAACCAGCTGAAGTACATGAGGTAAACCACAGGATCTGACATTACATCCTGATTTAATTTTTTGTTACGTTAACTATTTTTGTAATAAAACAGCTGTTATTATATTTGATTTTATAATATTTTTTTATTCACTGTCAAACCAATTAGTAGATATAAACCAGACCAGAGCTGAACTTTTTTATTTTATAATATTTTATTCCAGAGGTATCTTCATATGTTGACACAAACTTTTCAAGTTAAAAGTCTAGCTACAAAACACTTCAAACTTTGTATTACATGCTTAAGTACTTTCCATAAATGTAATAATGTTGAAAATAATGTTATTTCCACTTGGAATTTTGTTTGTTAGAGATTAAAAATCCTTTTAAGCTACTTGAGATCTGTCACTAGACACATGTAGAATCACAAAGAACACACACTCTCTTTTCATGCCATTATGTCATAAGTTGTTCACACTACACTTATGATGAACCAGCTCACTTCAATGAGTTGAGCACTGAAAGTAAAGTGTTAGGAAAAAATTACAGTATTAATTTTTATGTAGTCTAGTTTATAGAGCTGGGTGATAACTCAGTTAATCAGTATACTTAATTACCTATGAGCATCCAATCGTGTGATGTAAATAATGAACTTGAACCTACTCAACAAAAATTACTTAAATTAGAAAGGCAACATGTTTCCCTCATCCACCTTATTCAAGAACATCCTTAGAATACAGTAGATTTCAAGGGAGAAATGGTATTCAAGGTATATATATGTAGTATATGAATATACCATATATTTTTATCTTCTTCTAGTATTATAATATTTATTCTGAATTTATTCTTTGCTGTACAAATGTGCAGGTTTCACATAACACATGGTCAAGGAAACTTAAGTTGATCTTGATTGAAGTTACCATTGTTCTTTTATCATTCTCAGTTAGGTAATACGTGTTATACTCATGGAGAACATTGCTTATAAATATGACATTGTATAAGGATGCAACAGCAATATCCTTTAGTGGTTGTTCAGATGATATATAGAGGTTGTGTGTAATGAGAATAACCAGTCATATGGTAGGGGATGTTGCTCTGGGTAAATTTGGGGTTTCTTGGAAATTAAGAATCGTGGAATTTAGTTACTTTGAAATTTCTCCTTCAACTGGTCAGTTTATTTGTAGAACTTGGTCTTGACTAAAAAAATTGGAGATAAGCTATTTAGAGTGATCATTCAAAGTAAGTGCTCTGCAGCTTCACATGCTATATTTGTGTTTTAGTGCATTAATAGATTGCTCATATTGTGTATTACTTGTGTCCAGTCTCATTATTTAATGTTACATCAACTCAGTTAAGCAATAGTTTTGATTATGCTTTGTAATCGATATTTGAACAAAGTTTTTGTTATTTAGCACACCTATCTTACAGCTCAAACATATATTAAATTCACCTGAATATACTGCATGTACATCAGAGAGATGGGCGGTATCATCTTGAGACTTTTGTGAGAGAGATGTATTGAAGCATACTAAATCGTGACCTTACAATATATAAGACAGTTTCTGCATAAATAGTTATCCATAATCACAAACATTTTACACCTAAATTGGGGCAAAACAATGGTACATAGAGGAAAAGCTCATCAAAAAACCTAATTCTGGAAATAACTTGACCTATAACCCCTGTAAAATTGCAGTAAAGGCCTAAATCTCTATATCTGACTGCTTCAGTCAATGAGAATTGCTGTAAAATATCTTTGCACAAAATCTCATCTGAATTAGTCAAAATATAAAGAACTAGAAAGCAGAAAACCATAATTCTGCAAATTATTTTGATTATTTTTACCCCTATAAAATCTCATGAAAGGCATAAATCCAAAATATGTCTGTTTCAGTCTGTGAAGACATTTACAAATTATCAATGTGCAAAATCTCATCTAAGTTGGTTGAAATATAAAGGAATGGCAAGCCAAAAGCCCCAACGTTACAAAATATTTTGTTTGACCCCTACTTTTTAGCCTGTGAGGTCTGTTGCAAAGTATCTTTATACCAAGTCTCATTGGATTTAAATAAACTGCAGGCTATATGGTGTTCTTTTTAGTGCTTGACATTTGTCTCCCTAATGTGTGTGTCAATTAAAAAAAATGAAAATTCTGTGTGGGTATATTGGACTAAGATATATGCCCACCAAGTTTCAGAATGATAGGCCCAGAAATATAGGAATCTAGTTGTAACTAATTGTTGAATAGAAAAAAAAATAAACATAGGAAATATGTCTCCCTCCCCATGGGAAAACATAATAAATATGGTGCTATTCTATTATTTCAATATCTTATTAGTGTTTGAGATACAGTGAAACAAGTATCAAGTGTGTATGTATATTGGTTAAAGCAACATTACACAGGAAGATACAGTTTCTCTAGGGGACTAGTTTATTTTTATAATATTACTTTTGTTATTTGTTATATAATCAAAAACCATTCTTTACTAATGATGATGATGATCAATACATGAAGAAGTTTTGATATTTCACCATTTTGTTAGGAAACTATTGAAAAAAAAAAGATGTTATTTTAAGTTAAAATTGACTCGTTCATTTGTTAGGACTGTCACAGAGGCAGAACTAGCGAGGGGCAGATGGGGCAATGTCCCAGGGTCAGTGATGCCTGGGGGCCTGGTCTGGTCTAATCCTCTTGAAAAAGGTGCCCCGATCATTTCTTTGCTTGTTTTGCCATTGGTGTGGTAATAGCCTAGAATAATCAGCATAAAAGTAATTCCACAAGATTCCAGATGTGGTGTTTTTTTCAATTGTACTGTATTCTTCAAGTTAGTTGTGGGTTACTGTGGTGAATGCAATGTTCAAGTTTATCCTCAAGTTTCTTGTTTAATCAAAATCTGTTGACTGTGTTGGCCAAGGAAGATAAGTGAAGTCACTTCCATGGTTTACTCTTCAAAACAATTTCAAACAATACCGGAGGAACAGATTATTGTCTTGGAGGAGCATGTGTATATCATGATGGAAATGTGACATGGACCCAATGAGCAACAAATTTTAGGTACACTGTATGTTATCAATAACATTACAACTCTAGACTTCACACTATTATATTAACCCTAGCAAATTGCACTATTGAAACACCAGAAGCATTCGTAAGTGCCTGTTATGTCATATTCTTAATGTGCTTTCAGAACAGAAAAGGATGAAATGCAACTCATCATACTATATCATACACTTCTAATTACTCAATATCTACAGTTTATGCTTTAACTCTTTCAGCACAGGCTCGGGCCCTGGGACCGACTTTGTAGCCATTTTGTGCGGGTTATAGTTTTCATGCTATAACTTTTAAATTAGTAAGTGTATGTTAACGAAATTTGTCAGATTATCAGTAAACATTACAATGCTTTCACATGCAAAATATCAGGGTTTTTTTTAGGTCTTAAGGTTTGTAAAGCAATGTTTTTTTCATCCCTTTTCTTTTCGCATATTGCCTATCCAACATGCAAAGTAATTTTCATTTTAAGATTAAAAATACATTTGTGCATCAGAGAATTTTCAAATTTCACATGCAAAATTCTAATAATGTTCAAACATTTTTTAAGAAAATATTTATATTTTATCTGTTATTTTCACTAACGAATCTCTGTACAGGTTTGGTCGATTTGACCAATCTCATAACCACATTAAAAAAATTAGGAAATAAATATAAATTATGCCTTTTTTGTTCTAGAATGACTACAGATTATAACACAAAAACATAAATGTTTAGACTAAATAGCTTAAATCTCGTAACTTTATACATTTATATATATTTATTAATTTTATTATATTGACCTTTCACCCATGCTTGGCTAACAATACAAAAGTTACAATGATGCAGCACACATGCACACTTTACCTTACCCAATAATATAAAACTGTCTTGGCTGAGTTTTAGTAGACTAGTATTTTGTAAAATACAGTCACATTTCAATTATTATACATTATATATGTATTTAGATTATTGCTATTTTGAAATAACTTCTTAAACTTATTTGTCGTAAAACTTAGAACAGTAAATAAAGAAGTAAAGCAAACAATTCTCTCTTCTAGTTACAACCTTTGTACTCAGTTGCTGCTTGATGTAGGTTGCTAGGCCTTTTAAAACTTTGCACATGGAGGATATGAAACGGAATAATTTTTTAGCTTTTTAAATATACAGTCAAATAACCAAAAAATCATAAATTACTATATCAGTACCATAGAATTCCACTCTAATTTATCAAGCTTAATAACTAAGCTGTATTTCAGTCTGAAAAATATATGAAATTTTGAGCAGACTGTAGACACAACCTACCTCCTTGAAATCTTGGTTCCAAAGAAAGATAGGGTGTCCATACACGTTAAAATGGCTGAGAAAGCCACTAGCCATTCTAAGCTTTCAATTGGTTATTCATGTCATATATAGAAGTAAATGTATATAAGGGAGAGTTTCCA